CAATAGTTCAAAATCAGTAAGTTAAACAGATTAAAATCAATAGATCAAAAAATAAAAATACATTACATATTTTCACTGAAATTAATAATTAAAATATACAAAAAATGCTAAAAAAAAATATTTAACAAAACAAAATGAAATAAAATAAAAAATAATTAAAATACACAAAAACAATACTAAAAATAAAATAAAAATGTAACTAAACTAAAATAAAATAATGAAACATGGGTAACTGTATATTGTAAAACCATTTTTTTGTGTTGGAACTAGGGATGTCAATTTTCGATCATTTCCATGATCGATCGTCGTTTAAATTAACGATCAATTAATCGATTAATCGTTAACCTTAATGCTGCAAAATGCGTCTATGCAGCCCGGCATGACAGGATGTGCAAAAGTTACTAAAAAAAAACCCCCCGCTTTCTCTCCCGATTTAAAGGGGATTTAGTCTGAATAAAATGCTAGCAGGATTGTAAAATGAATAGATGTGATTATGATCATTTGATAAAATGAAGAGAGCTCGTTTGAGATCATTTTACTTTGTTGACTGTTTCCTATCCCGTCACGGAGACCGCTGAAGAGCCGCACGCAGACCAAAATTAAACAACTTAATCGACCATCGATAGCTTTAATTGACTGCATCTCTTATCGACAATTAATCGATCGTCGATTAATCGTTGACATCCCTAGTTGGAACACAACGTTTTCATAGAAAATCTTACACAGAAGCCAAAATGAACACTGATTTAACATTCACCTAAACCACATCAATAAATGAACCAGTGCAAACACAACTAATCCAACTTCATTAAAGTCCAAACAAGTCCATTAAAGCACTTCAGATGTGAATAACTCAATAATTTGTGATGTAAAACAGGTTTGACATCAGCAATACCTCAAATGAACGCTTCAGAAACCCGTACAGACGTGCTCAGACAGTGGTACAGACGGTGGTTTATTAATACGCTGGAGGTGAGGCCTGTACCGCGGTATTCTGGGTGGTTTGGGTTCAAATGGCTCTCTGGGATTTCAGAGTAAACGCTGCTCTTCCTAATGCAATGTTATCTTAATAGTAAAGCTTAAGTGCTGTTTGATGGTCTTTGCAGATTCACTGACAAATGTTCAACAGCTATGAAAACGGCACTAAAAGACTTTAATGGGAGATTCCAGAGCTCTTGCACAATCTCTCTTCCCTAAACGTCCTTTCAAAGAGTCCATAACTCTATGAGCTGCGCTGAGAGACCAGCTTCAACTACACCTTAAAAAATCAAATATACATCCTCTTTAACTAGCCCGCCTAGAGTCGACACACATCAACAGACATTTAAGAGAATAAATCACCCAAAAGTGAACATTTACTCACTCTCATCTCTTTTCAATGAAGGAAAACGTCTTTTCTTACAACAGGGTTTTTGCAGGATTTATGAAGGCTTTAAGACTTTTTTTTTTAAGACACACTTGTGTATTAGCAACACTAAGTTGAAAATGAAAACACAACCTCATTACTTCTTAATCCATTTTGTCAAAATAAAAAACTTAATTAGAAGGGGAAACAAGTTTTCTTTTTTTAAGCAAAAACTCACTTAATTTTGTTCAGTTTCTCAGAAAACAAGACTTCATATCTTTATTTGGCATCTCAAGTAAATGTATCTTGATTTAAGGATGTTTAGATGTTTGTACTGGAAAACAAGACAAAAGGATGATATACATTTTTTTGCAGTACATGCAACATTTAATGCCACGATTTTATGAATTTAAGACCTTCTGCTCTGATGTAAGACCTTTTTAAGGCCTTAATTTGTGTAAGGCAGAATTAAGACTTTAAGACCTGCAGAAACCCTGAGCAATGAAAATAAATGGGGACGGACACTGTCCACAGCTCCAAAAATGACAAAAAAAGCATCATAAAAATATCATAAAAGACATCTGCATGACTATATTCCAAGTCATCCGAAGGCACACATTTATGCCTGTTCTTCTCACAATTTGTGGGTCATAACAAATAATATTTCTGAAACAGTTTCAGGTCGCAGATGTCCCTGACCAATTTGGTGCCCTAGACAAGATTTTTGCTAGTGCCCCTTGCATCGCAGCCAATTCCACCACCAATCATTCACACAGAAACTGCATAGCTTTATGACATAAAAAAAAATTACATATGAAATAAATAAGACAGTTGCACAATAAATAAATAAACTGACATTAACTCAGCTAGCTATTTAAATTAGAGAACTTTAGAGATCCAAAGGCAGCTACAATACTAACATTTATATCTTAATTTCAGACATTCTTAAATTTAGGGATGCACTGATCTTAACTTTTCATATTGGAATCCAATGCTGATTTTTAATGTATTTTATATAAGCAAAAGACAAGAAAGAATGAAAATGAGTGCATGAAGAATATGGTTAGTTGCTTTAGTAGCTTATATTTTGATCTAAATTAGACTATAATCTCAAAACCTGTAGCAAAAACAGAATGGTCTGACTTTAGCTTTGAGAAATTAGGCTACACAAAACATACCAAACAGCAGATGGGCTGAATGAAAAAAATGCAAATTCTCTCTCTGTCAGCAGGTGGCGCTTAAGGAACAGCAGTGATGCATTGTTTCCTTGATTACCGCTGTAAACACTAAATGCATTATAGGCTACAGAGGTAAGATGAAAGGAAAATGCCATCTAAACTGTTTCTTAAGACAGTCAGTTCCCCTCAGAGATACACTCATACTTCGCCCATCGTGAACAGTGAGCTCGCTCTGCCTGCTAATGTATATTCTCCTCTTTGTGTCTCTTTGGCCTCTGTTAACGCTGTTTACAGACTCTGAAATAAAACAAAAAACCGTCCGGTTCCGATTTATGGCCAATGGTCGATCGGTGCATCTCTGCTCAAATTCAAATATCAAACTGCTTTTAATTTGGTGGTTTGCCAGCAATAAATGCGCTGCATTTTTCAGAAAACTGCAGCGCATAGGTATTTTTATTTAATTAAATAGCAACCTTTGCGATATGACTATGGCATTAAGCCATAATGCGATATTGATTATATTTCGACATATAGTGCACCCCTAATTAAAATAATACTATTATAAAAAAAAATAAATAAAAAAAACTCATTTGGGTGCCCCTAGCATTTGCCTATTTTGCCTATACGACGGGCCGGCCCTGAGGTCGCATTGACTTCCATAGTATGTGCAAAAATACAATGGAAGTCAATGGGACCTGAAACTGTTTGGTTACCAACTTTCTTCAAAAATAAAGAAAGAAAGAAATACAGAAGAAGAGCAAGTGATGACAGAATTGTCAGTTTCTAGGAGGAATATACTGATACTTTTATAACAATTCGGGGCAGATTTTGACCTTTGGAGCTTGATTGCATCTGTCCACAATCACTTTTATTTTAGATTTTGCAATGACCTGATGAACTGAACAGGGAATGCATGAACTGATAAAATGCATATCATGAATGCAACGCAAGTCGCTTTGGATACAAGCATCTGCCGAAATGCAGGAACGTAAATGATCAAAAGATAAAGAAAGGTCTGGAATAACGTAAGAGTGAGTAAATGAAGAGTTAACGGTCCTTTAATTGTAATTGAGCAATCTTAGACTGACTGAAATAACTGATGATAGATGAACTAAACTACAGTTAAAGATGCTGCAGTGGTCAGGACACCCGCTCAAACCCTCAAAAGAAACAACAGAAGAAACAGAGCTGATGTGCAGAGAGAGAATTAAAAACAGGCTGAAAAACAAGCGGCCGATCCGAACATCTTGAGCGCATTAGATCCTGCGTGTCCCGTCGTGGGAAGAGGCCCCCTGGAGAGACAAACCCCGCCAAGAGCTCCATAAGCAAACCGCTCTTCTGCTCTGGAGGATCTGCTGTCATATTTACACAATCCCTGATCTGATCTGGACAATGGATTATTATCAATGTTGAAAACGGTTGTGCTGCTCAATATTTTTGTGGAAACTGTGATGCATTTTATTTTTCAGGATTCACAAATGAATAGAAAGTTCAAAAGAACTGCATTTACAGTATTTGAAATAGAAATCTTTTGTAACATTATAAATATTTTTACTGTCACTTTTGATCAATTTAATGCATCCTTGATTAATAAAACTATTTTTTTTTTTTTTTTTTAATGGTAGTGTATCAATTTCCACATAAATATTGAACTGTTTTCAACATTGATAATAATTAGAAATGTTTCTTGAGCAGCAAAGCAGCATATTAGAATGATTTCTGAAGATCATGTGACACTGAAGACTGGAGAATATTCCAGTGTTAATCACAATTTAGTGATACTATAATTCACCTGTATTGATTAAAATTATTTCTTAAGCAAATTTGCAATATCCACCGTAATGGAAAATCCATTTATATCTGCACGTCCAAATCAAACTAATTCTGGGTGTCATGAGACACAGACAGCTGAAACATCAAATTATAGAAGAAACGTGTGCGTGTGTGTGTGTGCATGTGTGCCTGTGTGAGTGTCTGTGTGAGTGTGTATGCGTATCTGTGTGTGCATGTGTGTGTGCATGTGTGTGTGCATGTGTGTCTGTGTGAGTGTGTATGCGTGTCTGTGTGTGCATGTGTGTATGCGTGTGTCTGTCTGTGTGTGTGTATGCGTATGTCTGTCTGTGTGTGTGTGAGTGTCTGTGTGAGTGTCTGTGTGTGTGTGTGAGTGAGTGTCTGTGTGTGTATGCGTGTGTCTGTGTGAGTGTCTGTGTGAGTGTCTGTGTGAGAGTGTGTGCGCGCATGTGTCTGTGTGTGCATGCGTGTGTCTGTGTGAGTGTCTGTGTGTGTGTGTCTGTGTGAGTATGCATGCGTGTGTCTGTGTGAGTGTGTCTGTGTGTGCGTGTGTGTGTGTGTGTGTGTGTCTGTGTGTGTGTGTGTGTGTGTGTGTGTATGCGTGTGTCTGTGTGAGTGTCTGTGTGAGTGTCTGTGTGAGTGTGTGTGTGAGAGTGTGTGCGTGTGCGCGTGTGTCTGTGTTTTACCTCAGCACTGAGAGGTTCAGGTTTCCCGTACAGGCTTTGATTTTATTCTGGGCTTCCAGGTGTGTCATTCCCTCTGTGGCGATGCCGTCGATAGACAGCACGACGTCCCCGACACTGATCTTAGCTTTTGCTGCCTTTCCTCCTTCTGTCAGCTGCATCAAACACAAACAATCAATGACTTAAGACTTCAATTTCAGTCTGTTTCTGGCTCAAATCAAGTGAAGTGAAGACTTCAAATGTGGCGTATGTGACTATGGACTGTGTGTTATGATGTTTTGGTGTCCTTTTCAAAGTGTGAATGCTTTATGTACCTTTTATTGTAACTGCAAGTCTTCAAAATTTCTAATAATCTTTCAACATATTTGAACAGAATGCTCTGTTTTCACTCTTATTAGACACTATTAGATGCTTGACACAATGTTATTTTAGTATTATTTATATAGTAATTATAGTATTTATTAATATTTCAATATTTCAATTTAAATTTTTAGTTTAAGTGTGTTATTTTTTTTATATTTCTATTTAACTGAATTTTTTTCTTTCATTTTTAGTACAACTAAAATTAATTTTTACTTCTGTTAATTGCCAAGGCATAATTTGTCGTTTTTGTTTAAGCTTTTTAAGTCTAAGTCTTTTTTAACTTTAAATGTAATTTTTATACAGTTCACTAATTACTTTTGATACATTTTTATTTTCAGTTATTTTGTCATGCGTTTTGTCATTTTTACTAGTTCTTTTGTTTTATTAGTTGTTTTTGATATTTCCCTTTACCTGCATTTTTTTCTTTCAGTTTTATTGTTTTTTTACTAAAATGACTAAAAATTATACTGAAATAAAATTTAAGCTAAATAGAAATTTAAAAACAACTAATAAAACAACTAATAAAAATGACAAAGCACAAACAAAATAACTGAAAATTAAAGTGAAATCTGACAATATAAAAATATGAATAAATACTATTACAAAAAAAAAAACTTCATATAAAAAAAACAAACTAAAAAAAAATATATATAGTTTATTTCTGTTAGTTGCCAGAGCATAATTTTTTATTTTTAAGTTTTAGGTTAAAGTTTTTAATCAAATTATTTAAATAGTATTTATTAATATTTACATATTGATATATTTTTATATTTTCAGTTTTCATTTAATTTTAGTTTAACTTTCGGTTATTTTGTTGTGTGCCTTGTCATTTTTATCAGTGTTTTCGTTTCCCTTTTTAAATATTTTTATTTAACTCCATTTAATCTAATTTTTTATTTCATTTTTAATTAGTTTTAGTTAACAATAACACTTTACTGACGATGCATCTCACACCCTACCCTATGCCACTTACTTTGATGTCAAAATTTCTGTTTTTCTTATAATAGTGTTATATTTCATCTCGACTGTGTAATTCTATGTATGTCTGCATCATGTATGTCTGCACTATGTCTGTACTTTCTGTACTGGAAGCTCCTGTGGCCAAGACAAATTCCTTGTGTGTGTAAACATACTTGGCAATAAAGCTCTTTCTGACTTTCTGAAAACGGGATCTAGGTAAAAAAATCTTGATCTGTGCTGAACAGATAATGATTATACAGTAAAAAGATCTGGCCTTAAAAATCAAACTCTTCACAGGAGCTGAAGATTAAAGAATGACTGATGCTCGGCTGACCTTTGACCCTCTCGGCCCAAACTGAAGCGAGTTGGTGAAATGATACAGGCGAATCCATGGCCTTTGATGCCGGAGTGCAGTGAGACGCTGATGAAATACTAGCTTCAGGAGCCAAGAGCCCAGCTGGAGGGGCTGTGATTTATTAGGGCTTTAAATCTGCTGCTGGAGCTCAGAGATGCTGCATTTCTGTCCCCCTTATCAGACCAGACCTGACGGCCTATTAGAAACCAGTCTCGCTCTTATTAGTACTGGCTTGAGATCTTGTCTGGACTAATAAACACCCCGATACCTTACCAGATAACTACAGCGCGGGAAGGAAAGTCTTTACTCGGATGATTTACACAGAGGAGAATAAAACCAAACAGCTTCTGTGGAGCTTCTCAGAGACAAAGTCTTTATCACTAAAGGTTTTAAATGCATTCTTTAAATGCATTCTTTACAGCCAATCCCAGAATGCACTGTGACTACAGGGAGAAAAAATATCCACGATGGTCAACAGCTCACGAGAAATGTTTGTTTGTATTTTCATGTCACACCAGTTATCATGGCTATTTTCATAGTGAGAAACAGGTTATTAAAATGCAGCAAAATTATTTTTTTCTTTTTAAAGTTCTTAAAGAAAACTAAGTATAAATATAAACATAAATATACTGTACATATAAATGTAAATAGGCAGGACTTCAATTTATCAATCATGAATTGATTGGATTGTGAAAAGTGAAAGCTCCATCACATAAATATTATTATTAAAAAAATTAAAAAAAATCATCATGAAAAGTACAAGTTCCATCATGGAAATATATGTAAAAAATATAAATAAAAAAGATAAATATACAAATTCAATATAAGGCAGGACTCGATTTTATCAATCAAGAACTGATTGGATTGTGAAAAGTGGAACGGAGTCATGTGACTGGACAGGTTAGTGACAAAAGCAACTAAATCTGGCCTCTTTTCATGAACGATCCCAGAGGAGCTGAAACATCTCAAGCCATTATAATACACCTCAAACACACTGGACTTTGCTATAAGAGGAATGGAAAAACAAAATGAGAGATAGACACGGTTACGACAGACTGTAAACTCACAGCACACTTTCCTCATTAAAAGCTGATCACATCAGTTAAGCTGGATCTAAACTCGAATCAGGAGTGACAGTGTTTCAAACATCCATCTGCGGCCATCAAAGCGTGACCTTCCCAACAAACAGAACCAGAGACGTGCGTCATCCCTTCCTCAGTCTGTTAAAGCCCTCCGCTGCCACACACATAAAACTGATCCGAGGTCAGAGGTTACAGGGAACATGTCACCAGACTCCACATACTCCTACTAGACGCATTCAAAACCTGACAAACCAGGACATGAACGCATGATCTCCAGAGTCACTTCATCAGCATTACACCATTTCATTTGAGAAAACTACTGTCAGCTACACACACAAACGCAAAGATCTTCACTACAAGCCGCCAAAATAAAAGTTCGGTTTAACATGAAGAAATGACGGTAGCAATACGAATATTACTTTAGAATGCACTTCTGACAGTAATAATAAATAATACAGTTTAATATTATTTTTCAAATATCACAATTTGTTCAATTATGTTTTAATTTAAAACTATTTAAAATAAAAGGAAATTAAAATGACTTTTTAAAAGGTTAAAAATGCAGTGAAATTAATATTTATGCCTTCATTTGATTATTATTGTTTTTGATTTATTAATTAATATTAAAATCATAAATCACAAATCTAGAAAAGGTCAAACTGAATTTGGGAAAAAATTTAATTTTTGTTAAATAAGTTTCATGTTTTCAAGTAATTCGATTTTTTTTTTAAAGCGCTAAATTATAATTTAAGCATTAAAACAGAATCCAGAAAAATTAAAGCTGAAAAAAGAAAGGGAAAAAAGGAATCCAGAAAAATATAAACTGGGGGGGGGGACCAAGAAAAAAAGAATCCAAAAAGTGTAAACCGAGAAAAAAAACAAAAAAAACATTCTAAACAAACAAACAAATAAATAACTCTTTATAAAAAAATTTATAAATAAAAAAAAAACCAACAAGTCCAGAAAAGATAAAAAAAAGAAAAAAGATCAAAACGGAATCCAGAAAAATTAAACACTGAAAAATAAAAAAATCATATGAATAAAAATCATAGTGCCCAATATTTCCATACTGTGTTTTGGGCCACACTATGTCTAACCTTGCACTCTATATAGGACTGGTATGAAGTGAACTGGCGTGGAGCCTGTTTGCTCTCGGTGTGTCTGAACAAGAAGCACTTATTTACTGGTGTGTATATGAGGCATTACGCAACCATGCATGAATATCAGTCATTCAGCACTGCTGTCGTTCTCTTCACTTCACATCTGCTAGGAAACTAACTCAACTAATGTACTCCCCTCCTCCGGAGTCAGATTAGCACCCGCTCTGCTCTCGGCTGAAACCTTTAAAACAACCACCACGATGCGGGACTGATGACAGAAACACTTCAGCCTGTCAGAACAATCACGTTTTACCTGCTCCCGTGATGTTTTTGAGTCAAACGCGTTTAGAGCAACATGAGGACAAGTATTTTTTACGAAATTTTCCTTTAAATAGGTTTATTGTGATTTTTTGTTATCTTTAAAAGAAAGAAAAAAAAAAAGAGTCAAAGTGTGATTGTGAAAGTGTGATTTATACAGTATACTGTAAAATGCAGTTTGTAATTTTTAATTTCACGTCAACAACCATGGCTATTTTCATAATGACAAACAGGTAATTAAAGCAAAATATGTGGGGAAAACCCCCCCCCCCAATATTTACTGAAGGTTTTTAAAGTTAATATTTGATTTAAAAAAATGAAAACTATTACATATAAATATAAATGTAAAATTTAAATATAAATATGCATGACTTGATTTTATTAGCAATCGACTTGATCATGAAAACTGTTTTTTAAAATAAATATTTTTTTAAATGTAAACAAATATGAAAATAAATATAAATATAAGAAATAAATATAGGGCAGGACTTGAAATATATTTTAAATATTTTTATATTTATAATATAGGGCAGGATCATGAAAAGTGAAAATTAATTATTTAAATTGTAAATTTAAATTTGAATTTAGGCAGGACTGAGAATCGACTGGATTATGAAAAGTGGGCGATCAATCCCATAAAATATATAGAAATATAAAAATGTATATATATATATACATAAAAAATATATATTTTTTAAAATAAATATAGGAAGGATTTTCAATATATTTATTTTTATAATATATTTTAAATACAGGGCAGGATTTTATCAATCAGAGATTGGTTGGAAAAGTGGAAGTGGATTTATGCGAAATGTCTGTTTTTTTTTTTTTTTTACTTTAAAAGACAAAATGAGTCAAAGAGTGACTGTGACATAAGTAAAAGTCTCTCACCATGACATGTTCAGAAGTGATATATGCCGCATTGCATTATTTAAGCAGCAGGAAAGGCAAAACTAGAGCTCACACAACTTTAATTC